TTTTTTTTTTTTTTTTTTTTTTTTTTTTTTTTTTTTTTTTTTTTTTTTTTTTTTTTTTTTTTTTTTTTTTTTTTTTTTTTTTAGCATTGCCTCATACATCATCTTACAGTCTCATGATGGGAGGACTCGGCGGTGCTAGTTTACAGAAAGCCCAGTCTCTGATTGATTTAGGATCTAGTAGGTATGAAGGCTTAAAACCTCCAGCTTTTTATGCTTTCAATAAGGAGTAGCCCTGAGCTTATCCAGGTTTTACGTTAGAATGGCCAAATGTAAAACGCTTAAGGCAAATTTACTACTTTTAACTCACATAAAATAAGTTATTATTTTTAAAATTGTTAAATGTTTGAAAAAAATGTTCCTTTTAAACTAAAAATGTTCTGCTATATATTCAGTTGTCAAGTTTTTGCCCCCAAACTACATACTTTTCCTTTAAAAATATATGTTTCTCCAAAAGTCTCATAGTCACGATACATTATAATTTTTTTCTTGAGCAAATTCTGCTGATTGAATAGCTTTTAAATTTTAGAAAGCACAAAAGCTTCAGTGTTCATTCATCACCCCTTATGTAGGTCATCAGAATACTCCTTAAGGCAGAGTACCAAAGTGGTTAGCTTTAACTCAGAAGAAGAGTATTGGTTTCCTAGCTTAGACTCCCATTGGATGTGTGTGACCCTCACTGAGCCATAGTTTGCCCATCGAACAGGTGAGGACTGTAATTCCTTCTGAGTTTGTCATGAGGATTAGAAGTAGTATTTATAAAGGCCTTACCACAATACAGGGCCTGGCACGTAATAGGTTCTTGGTATATGGTAGTCTGTAGTTCATATGGTATTTACTTTCCTGAGAATGAGGTTAAATTAAATATTTAAAATACCAAACAAAAGCAGTTACTACTGTACCATAGAAGGTGTGATTCTTAATGTCTCTGCCTTATAAACTTTTACTGAGTATATTTTATGTAGTAACATAAAATTTTTAATAAATTTTGTTCTAGCTCAACTTCCTCAACTGCTTCACTCTCAGGGAACTCGCCCAAGACTGGGACCTCAGAGTGGGCAGTTCCTCAGCCTTCAAGGTTAAAATATCGGCAAAAATTTAATAGTCTTGACAAAAGCATGAGTGGATACCTCTCAGGTAGGTGGCATATAGTGTTTCAGAATGTGAGAGAGTTAAAGTTTTTTATATGAATTTCTACTAAAGAACTCTTACTTGAATTTGTACTTTGTAGCTCACCTAAAATTTTAGCATCCAAAAAATTTAGCAGGCATTTGATAAATACAAATATTTTAAGTTGTGTGAGAGATGAATACAACTCGGTTGATTTCTTCAGAGTTTTTACAATGAAGTTGAGCACACAGGTGTACACCCAACTTTTTGGAAGAAATACCACTCCCTAGAGAAGATGAAGCCTTGTCCTCTAGTGAAAGGAGACCCTTACATGATGGGGAAGAGTGTGTGGGACTTAACCTCAACTTATTTTCCCTGTGCATCCCCTCCCTCATTGGATCTTTCTGTGCTTGCCCTTACTGAAACCTCCTGGGAATGTTGTCTACCCTTTGGTGTTCCAACCCTGTAAGATTTGCCCTTAGGTCACTACAGAATATTTGAGTCCATGCTAGAACATTATCCAAACTTTTCCAATTAAGGGTAGTGAAGGGGATATAAACAGAGGATAATAGGCAAGTAGAGTTCCCACTGTCTAACTTTCCCCCTCTCTCTTAACTCAGCAACTAATCTACAGTTGAGATGGAATAATAAAACAAGTGTTTCTAAAATAATAGAGCTTTAAAGTGCTAGGGAACGTAGAATGGGAGTTAATACTTAAAGAGATCAGATAAAACATCTTGTAGTAAGAGAGCATTTAAGCTCCATCATGAAAGGAAGAGTTAGGGTTTGGGCAGATAAGATTGAAGGTGGTAGCATTTGAGGGTGACAGAGGAGAAATCCTAAGAGCTAGAAGTACATGGCATGGATAGAGAATTTGAAAAGTAGTCTATAGAATAGGAGTATGAGGTTTCAGGGCAGTAGGACAAGGGAGCAAGAAGGCTTTTAAATTGATTGGACCAGCAAATATGTACAGTATTTTCTTTAAGATACATTACTAGGGGCCTGTGGGTGGCTCAGTCAGCTAAGCATCTGACTTCAGCTCAGATCATGATTTCATGGTTCGTAAATGTGAGCCCCACATCAGGCTCTCTCCTTTTAGCACAGAGCCCACTTCAGATCCTCTGTCCCCTTCTCTCTCTGCCCTTCCACTCTCCCTCTCCCAAACAATCAATCAATCGTTTCTTTTTTCAATTTGTTAAAAGTGGAGTAAAAAGACATACAAAAATGTTCATGACAGCTTCACTCAAACATCCAAAAAAGAAACAGCCTAAATATCTATCAACAGGAGAATGGTTAAATAAATCGTAGTATATTTCTGTAACAGAACACACCAAAATAATCTATTGAATGAAAGAAGCCTGGTCCAAAGGGTCCATACTATTTAATCCCAATTATATGAAGCTGAAGAACTGGAAACGTAACTGATGGTGATAGAAATCAGAATGTTAGAGTTACTGTGTTGGGAATGGGCCATGCACAAACCTCCTACAGGTTTGAAAAGTGCTGAAAACTTAAGATTAGTACACTTTCTGTAGTAAAAACATACAGTATAAACAAAGACAGAATATGAAGGTCCATGGGGAGCCGCTGTAACGAATGAGTCCCTACTGTTACTTGCTTGTATATGCCACACTGTATGAAGGTGGTGTATTGGGTTTGCAGAGAATGTTGTTATTCTGAGACCTACAAGAGTATAGTTATATATTCATAGTTAAGGGAAGGATTAAAAACAAAAAAGAATAGTTGTTTCTGGTGTCCTGAAAGAGAGCAGAAGCCCAAGTATATGAGGATGAGGCTGACTTAGACTTACATGTTGTGCTTTGTTCAATGAGTGTAGCATTTGGTGGTCTAATTTTATTCCTCTTGTTCTTCTCTCCCCCTTAAACTCTCATGACTTATTTAAATGAATCCATTGACTCGTAGTTTCTGAGTCCTATAATTTCTGGGCACTCTGTGATGCCCTGGAATACACAGAGGAGGAAGACACTGTCCATACCTTTAAAGACTCCATAATATATACGGGTTACATAATCATAGTATTTGATTAGTGGTTTGAAAGTGCTGTGACCAATATACATGAGAAAGTGACTAATGCTGAAGATAGAGAGTTTCACAGAAGAGATGACATCTGCGCTGTATCTTCAAGGATGAGTAGACCACCAGGTAGAGAAGGGGGGACTAATACTATAGCACAGGAAATAGGATATCCAAAGGTTTGGCGGACCAACAGTGGGCACATTCAAGTGAGCTTTTCTTAGTGAAGTACTCTGATGGCTCTCTGTAACACTTTGTGTTATTCACAATTTGCACACATTTAAGCCTTCTACCAGTATGCTTTTTAACGAATTACATTCCTTGTCTTTTTCCTTCTGTTTGCTCCGTTGCCTCATGCTAAGGGATCTCCTTTCAGTTGTCTTTATTCAAGAGCTGAAACATTAGACCTTTTTTTTCAGGTTTGCAATAGCCTTCCATTTCTTTATTTATTAGAAGAATATTTATTAGAAGAATTCTCTTTTTCATGCAAAGACCTCCTCAGATCTCACTTCCTGTGTGTAATCTACTAAGGAGTAATTAGTTGGATGAGGCCATGAACTATTTCCAGTGGTTTTCCATATGTGATTTTTATTAAATGACCAGGTTTTTTTCTTAAAGACTGAAAAATATTTTAAAGTTATGTTATGTAAACATCCTGTTGTATGTTATAATTTACGGTGTATTTGTGTCTGTTCCACATAGTATATGTCGCTTTGATTACCGAGACCTCATGTCTGAAGCTCAGTGAAACAATGTGTTAGCAGCATTCATGCTGGCTCTTTAGTAGGACCTGTTGCTGAGGAGGAGTTGGCGGATGTATCGTCTTCTGTGCAGAGTTGTTTGGGTGGGTCTCAACTCAGGCTGAGCCCTGAGTAAGGCCTGACTCTTCAGTACTCATGGCTCAGTCAGCTGCCTGGAAATGGGCAGTGCGGCACCTGCTTTACTGACTAGATGACCTTCCCTAGAGACACCAGGTGATTTTATCCATGGTTAGGAAGGCACAGAATTGCCCACCAGGAGTGAATACTGTGAATCAGATGAGAACTTTGTGTTCTGAATAGATTCCTGAGATTCCCGTGTGACCATTATCCCAACATGAAAATGCAGACCAGGAAGTCTGTTACATATTTTTGAGCACTGAGGCAGAGAAAAGAAGTGGGAACAGTTTACTACGTATAGTAAGCATTCAGTGAACGCTAATTGCTATTACTCTCATACCCTATCCCATAAGTCCTTACTGCACCTTAGGGTACTTTGGATTACAACTTTATTCATTACTTTAGCAAATATTAAGTGTTTTTGTACCTGGTACTGGACATAATATGTTAGTGAATAAAGCAGTCAAGGTTTTTGTCTCCATAGAACTTAGCATGATAGTGGAAATAGGCAATAAACAGGTAAACAGGAAGATAAATGTTACATTACAGTTTGTGATATGAGCCATGAAGGAAACCAGCAGAAGTGTATTGGATGATAGGATGAACAGAGACGGCCTTTCTGAAAAGGTGACATTAAATTGGGACTTACAATGTGAGAGGGACCCAGACATGCAGTGATGTTAAAGTGTAGAACTTGAAGTTGGCTGTAGGTGTACATGAGAGGGAGGGGTGACTTTCTGGTTTCTGGCTTGAGCCACTGGATGGGCAGTGATGCCACCTAGAGAAAAGGGCAGACTGAGAGTGAATGGTTTGGGCGATAGTTAGGAAGTGGGGTGTGAATGGGGATTGAGAGAGTTGTTTTATATGTATTTGGTTTGAGATACCTGTGAAATACTTAGGTAGGTTTTTCAGAGGTTTGGGCTGGGGTGTACATTTGCAGATCATCAGCCCCAAGGTGCTATTTAAAGTCACAGGAAGTTCACAGATGTGAACACACAGAGAACAGAGTGCCCAGAACAGAGCCTTGGGGAATGCCAGCATTTACAGGTCATTTGGAAGAGGAAGAGTAGAGACAGAAAAAAGATCAGAGAGAGAAGACAAAATCTGAAAACACTGTGAAGACACAAAAGCTGTGCTTGGGGCTGCATGGGAGCACAAGGAAGCCAGAGAGCTTGGCCTCCAGTACTTTGTGTGCAAACGCTCGGTCCATCATGTTGGTCAGTGGCATGGACTGTTATTTTCTAAAAGGACATGGTGGAGTACTTGAGTTACGAATTCTAGATTTTAAATTCCTTGGGGCAATGGCTGTGTTTTGATTGGTACTGAATGCTCAGTACCTGCATGTGGTAAAAGCTTTCCAGTGGTCAAAGTTCCCAGGGTGGCAGCAGTGTTATTTTGTAGATATAGCTATTTAGGTGCACATGACTTTAAAGAAACTAAAGAATTTCCTTTCTTCCTTTTTTTTGGCTTCCCTATTCAATCAGGTTTTCAAGCTAGAAATGCACTTCTTCAGTCAAATCTTTCTCAAACTCAGCTAGCTACTATTTGGTGAGTTTATCCATTAATTACAAATTTCAACTATACATCCTCTATTATAAGAAAGATCCTGTTTCTGAAAACATTTATGACTCAGAGATGTTCCGTAAGAGCAGCCAGTTGAAGGTTAATGCAATGTTGAAACACAGTAAAATTGTACAAAATGTTATTCTTGAAAATTTGGTGTTTAATTATTTTGCAGATAAGTTGGTTTGCTTTTTCATAATGATGTCTGTGGAGAATTTGAGAGTACCTCATTTTTAATTTAGAGCTGACTGATATGATAAGTGAATTATCCATGAAACAAGACAAGCCACATTTTCAGAAGGAATGTTTTCCTTTTCCGTTTTAAACTTTCTCCCCTCTCTTGTACAGTAGGACAGTTAAGGGTAAAAATAAGCTCGCTTTTCTATATATATTTACATTTCCCTAAAATATGTTAATCCAACTGTTTTGCTATCATTTTTCTTGTTTTAAAAATAGAATCTTGAACTCTTTTGAAAATACTTTAAATAGACTCTGTTTCTAAGCTGTGATCGTTCACATTTGCTTTAGGACCCTGGCTGACATTGATGGCGATGGACAGCTGAAAGCTGAAGAGTTCATCCTTGCGATGCATCTCACCGACATGGCCAAAGCAGGACAGCCCTTGCCACTGACGTTGCCTCCTGAACTTGTCCCTCCATCTTTCAGGTGGGCGCCTCTGGAAGGAAGAGGCATGGTTTTGATTCCTGGGGACAGACATGATTACTACATAGTGATTTCCCAAGGCCTCTGCTCTAGTTTAATGGGAAGGTAAACATTTACACTGGTATTTGATTTTGCTATTTAATGAGTTATGCCAAGAAGGAGTAGAAATAGGTGTGTTTCCACCATACTGTACATAAGGAAACTGATGACTTAAAGAGATTAAAAATAAAATTTGCTCACGGATAGCAATCAGCTGAATTGTGGTGGGAATCCAGATCTCTGGCTGGACAGTCCATATCCTGCTGTGCATTGTAACTACAGACCATAGTGCACTCTAAATGTCTCTGGTGCTGTATTCTAACTGTTAAGTAGCTCTAGTCGTTGGTAGTATAGCTGTATATATAGTCCTGTCTAGAATTTCCCAGACTTCATGATGCTAAATATGTTTGTTTGCTTTTCTTAGAGGAGGAAAGCAAATTGATTCTATTAATGGAACTCTGCCTTCATATCAGAAAATGCAAGAAGAGGAACCTCAGAAAAAATTACCAGGTAACATTGTTTAAGTTGTCTATTTATAGTGGGTTCTCTTAAATTTTACCTTGAGATGTAAATGAGTTTTTAGAATTTTTACACTCTTTCTCTTTTTTTTTTTTTTTTTTTTAAATGTTTCTTTATTTTGAGAGAGAGAGAGCCAGCTCAGGGGAGGGGCAGAGAGAGCGGGAGACACAGAATCCAAAGCAGGCTCCAGGCTCTGAGCTATCAGAACAGAGCCAGACTCTGGGCTCAAACTCACGAACCATGAGATCATGACCTGAGCCTAAGTCAGACACCCAAGTGACTAAGCCACCCAAGCGCCCCTAGAATTTTTATATTCTTAATATTTTATATACCATAAGAGAAAACTATTCGATGAATGGGTTGGAATCTGACATCAAAAAATTAAGATAGTCAAAAATGAGAAGAAATTTATTTAGGAAGAAAGTATGCACATTTGGCAAGAGTTTGTGTGTTTGATATCCTAGTTAAAATGTTTCTCTCACTTTAGGAAAAATCACGGTAGCAGGTGATGTGATAAAATCTTCATCTATAAAGAACAGTTTAAATATTGGTTGAAAAAGTACATATGTAGATGTTTCAAAGTATTAAAAAGTTAGTGAAATATATGAAATAAATATATAGCCATCCAGCTATGCTTGTCCTTGAAGAAAATGCTAAGAAAAAAGTTGGAAAATGGTTTTATTAGCAAGAATTTCTCTCTCAGATGAATTCAAACTTAGAAATTTGTTTTCCAAAAGTGAGTACTCTTAGACGAAAGTAAATATTTTACTATTTATATTTGAGTTAAAATTATCCTTAGGAGAAGGATCCTCAGAGTAATAGCACTCAGATGATCACAAGGCATGAGTGTGTTGAAACTGGAGTCCACATTCTTGGGCTCTTCATGGGAGAGTGCTTACTGTATACCTTGTTTAGTTACTTTCGAGGACAAGCGGAAGGCCAACTACGAGCGGGGGAACGTGGAACTGGAGAAACGGCGCCAAGCCCTGATGGAGCAGCAGCAGAGGGAGGCAGAACGAAAAGCCCAGAAAGAAAAGGAAGAGTGGGAGCGAAAACAGAGAGAATTACAGGAGCAAGAATGGAAGAAACAACTTGAATTAGAAAAACGCTTGGAGAAGCAGAGAGAATTGGAGAGACAGCGGGAGGAAGAAAGGAGAAAAGAGATAGAAAGACGAGAGGTTATTTTTAAGTTACTTTATTTCCTAAGAAAATGATTATATTTAATACGTGGATACATCTTATTTGTTTTTTTCTAAATGGCTATTTTTGTTGTGCCTTTTTCTCTGCATCATTCATTCTTACCTATTCTCTCCAATTCTGAACCTTCCTTCCCTTCTGGAGTGGAAGAGGGCCTTTGCTTGTGAAGAGTTTTCAGGGCCAGTAACTGATTGAAAAGGTGGTGTTTCTGCAGGTCAGGGAGGATTTCCAACTCAAAGAAGGATCGAGTACAAAGCTGAGTTGAGTGAGGAGCTGAAGCTAGTGAGCCAGAGGAAGGAGTCCGTCCAGGCAGGTCATTGAACAGAAGTAAGCTTTGGATCCAGAGTGAGAGGCCACAGAACTGGAGCCACAGAAGGCTGAGGTTGGGGAGCTGAAGGTCTGGAGGAAAAGCACGAGGGTGGGCTTGCGCAGGTCCGAGGGATAAATGTGACGTATGCGTCCCTAGGAGGACTGGCTTTGTTTTAAGGGCTTAGGATGGAGCACAGTAAATCATAGTGATACTGAAGGATTTTTCTTCCCTGATACCAGACTACAGGTGCAATTATTTCTATTGACATTTATGTTTATGAAATTGTCCTTTTGTTTAAGCAGAAAGTAACTACCAACAAAAAGATGGTCCCAGGAAACAATCAAAAAGTCTGATGGGTGATGTCACTTTTGTGGAAGTCTGTAGGCTAGGCCTGCTGATACAACTAGGTTTGCCCAGTTACTCTTGGGCCCTGAAGCCCACTGAGTGCCAAGCGCTGCTTTGCCTTTATCTTTGTCATCCCATCAGTTTTTGAATGATGCAAAACTGCTAATTTAAAAATCAAACTTAATTCATTATTTTCAGGCAGCAAAACAGGAACTTGAAAGACAACGTCGTTTAGAATGGGAGAGGATTCGTCGCCAGGAGCTTCTCAATCAAAGGAATAGAGAACAGGAAGAAATTGTCAGGTTAAACTCTAAAAAGAAGAGTCTTCATCTTGAGTTGGAAGCACTGGTATGGCTGAAGTTTAAGTGAAATTTCCCTGTTTGGTGCTAGAGTTACTTGTTGAAAAATGTCATTGTTTTTTAAATCTACTTCATGAATACACGGGGTTTTCACGTGATTCTGTCATCATGTTTTCATGTGTGCTTAACAGTTGGGACAGTCTAGTTTACTAAAACAGGGTGGTGACCCAGAATGCTGGAAGTTACATTGTGTCTCTGTTCAGAAGCTGGCAAACCACATATTCCTGGGCAAGACCTTTCCCTTCTGTGTGCTTCACTTTGCCCACCTATAAAATAAAAGGTTGTGCTAGTTCAGTAATTTTCACTTTTCAAATTGGTGTCTGGAAGAAGGTCTCCAGTGGGGTGACCAGCAGTGGGAGAGGGGAGGCCAAGGCACTCCCCAGTGCTTGCCACAGTGCACAGCAGAGAAGCTCCACACTTACCTGCTTTACTTTTATTGGAGCTTTATCTGAGTTTTGCTTGGATAAAAGGATTCTACTGCTAAAAAGACAGAATGATTTGAAATTCGTGATCTAAATGATCTCAGGATTCCTTCCAGTTCTGTAGGACTGTGGTTCTTACCACATGCTTACCAATTTTTACACATCAGCTCTCAGAGGGTCGAGTTGTTTAAAAGACATTGTTGCAAATGAAAGGAAGGTATAAAGGGTCTAGGGAAAGTGTACTCTTCTACTACAACCCTAGAATCCATAATCCTGACCTGATAATATAATAAGGTTTTGCAAAAATGCATGTGTAGCCTTGTTGTAGAGCCAAATATAGGTCTTGTTTAGTTGGAGTCTCACATTTTATTTGGTTGATGACTTGAAATTAAAATTTTTAAGAATCGCAATATTTGTAATCAAAAAGTTACTTCAGATGGATAGGAAAGCATATAACAGTTATTAATCCTGCCATAGTATTACAAAACAATCCTAAAAAATGTTAACTTCTTCAACTTTTATTTTGAGTATATATTTTTCTTTAAAAATATAATGGAGGAAGGGGCACCTGAGTGGCTCAGTCGGTTAAGCGTCCCATCTTTGGCTCAGGTCATGATCTCACGGTTCACGGGTTCAAGCCCGGCATCAGGCTCTGTGCTGAACAGCTTGGAGCCTGGAGCCTGCTTCAGATTCTCTGTCTCCCTTCCTCTCTGCCCTTTCCCCTCTCCTACTCTTTGTTTCTCTGTGTCAAAAAATTTTTTTAATATATAATGAGAGGAAATCTTAAGATTGATGATTTTTCCCTCAGGAACATGGATTATATGCCAGGAAGTAGCATAGATTAATGTGCAGGGTCTGGAAGGTCCAGAGCCTATACTTATACATGCTGAAGATATAACACTATTATATATAACACGAACTCTAGTGTAGACATAGCAAATTCCTTTTATATGTATTTCTCAAATATGAAACATACTTTTCAGCAAAAACTTTATCCCTGATTTTTAAGTCTCATTTCTCCTCCTCACCCTACTGTTTGCTAGGGCTGCCATAACAAAATGCCACAGACTGGGTGGGTGAAACAGCAGAAATTAATTTTCTCACAGTTGGAGGCTGAAGTCCAAGATCAAGATGTCGGCATGTTGGTTACTTCTGAGACCCTTCTCCTTGGCTCGAAGATGGCTGGCCTCTTGCTGTGTCCTCACATGGCTTTTCCTCTGCCTGCGCATCTCTGGTGTCTGTTTTGTGTCCAAGTTTTCTAGCCTCATAAGTCAGATTAGATTAGGACCCATCTGTATATGACCTCATTTAACCTTATGATCTGTTTAAAGACCCTGTCTCCAAAAACAGTCACATTCTGAGGTCCTGGCATTTAGAACTTCAACATATACATTTTGGGGGGGATACACTTCAACCCATAACACTTCACCCTTCTCTCTAGCCTCCACTGAGAATCTCTGCTGTTGTTGCTTTTTTCCCCCTGTTTCTCTGAAGAAGAAAGAAGGAATATTGGGTATGGGAGAAGAAAATTGTGGCCAAAAAGGCCCTGCCGGACTCTTGTTTAATTCGAGGAAATTAGATGGCAGTGTGGAGGGTAGAAATAAAAGCTCAGAGAAGGTAATGATAAAAGTCACATGTAGATGTTTATTTTTCATTATTCTTTGAAATTGTCTCTATTTTAATATAAATTAATGCCTAAATGCTGAATTCAGAAAAAATTCAGTGTGTTATGTTTGTGCTTGCTCATCTTAACATACAGGCCCTTCTTATGCTCTGAGAATGGTACATTTTCTGCTAATAATTCTGTCTGGAGTTAACAGATATAACTCTAGGACACATTATACTTTGTTTTTGTAGGATTTTTTTTTTTTTTTTTTTTTTGGTAGGCTCTGTGCCCAACATCAGCCTCAAACTCACGACCCTGAGAGCAAGAGTTGCATGCTCCTGTACACCAACAGTGAAGCAACAGAAAGAGAAATCAAGGAATCAATCTCATTTACAATTGTACAAAACCCATAAAATATCTAGGAATAAATCTAACCAAAGAGGTGAAAAATGTATACACTGAAAACTATAGAAAGTGTTATGAAAGAAACTGAAGAAGAAACAAAAAAATGGAAAAACATTCCATGCTCATGGATAGGAAGAACAAATACTGTTAAAATCTCATTACTACCCAAAGCAATCTACATATTCAGTGCATTACCTATCAAAATAACACCAGCATTCTTCACAGAGCTAGAACAAATAATCCTAAAATTTGTATGGAACCAGAAAAGACCCTGAATAGCCAAAGCAATCTTGAAAAAGAAAACCAAAGCAGGAGGCATCACAATCCCGGACTTCAAGCTGTATTACAAAGCCGTGATCATCAAGACAGTATGGTACCGGCAGAAGAACAGACACTTAGATCAATGGAACGGAATAGAGAACCCAGAAATGGACCCACAAACTTATAGCCAACTAATCTTTGACAAAGCAGGAAAGAACATCTGGAGGAATAAAGACAGTCTCTTCAGAAAGTGGTGCTGGGAAAACTGGACAGCAACATGCAGAAAAATGAACCAAGACCACTTTCTTACACCATACACAAAAATAAACTCAAAATGGATGAAAGACCTAAACATAAGATAGGAAGCAATCAAAATTCCTGAGGAGAAAGTAGGCAAAAGCTTCTTTGATCTTGACCACAGCAACTACTTACTTAGCACTTTTCAGAGGCAAGGGAAACAAAAGCAAAAATGAACTATTGGGATCTCATCACAATAAAAAGGTTCTGCACAGGAAGCTATCAGCAAAATGAAAAGGCAACCAATGAAATGGGAGAAGATATTTGCAAATGACATATCAGATAAAGGGTTAGTATCCAAAATCTATAAATAACTTATCAAACTCAACACCCAAAAAATAAATAATCCAGTGAAGAAATGGGCAAAAGACATGAATAGACACTTCTTCAAAGAAGACATCCAGACAGCCAACTGACACATGAAAAAATGCTCAACATCTCTCATCAGGGAAATACAAACCAAAACCACAGTGAGATACCACCTCACACCTGTCAGAATGGCTAACAGTAACAACTCGGCAACGACAGATGTTGACAAGGATGCGAAGAAAGAGGATCTCTTGCACTGCTGGTGGAAATGCAAACTGGTGTAGCCACTCTGGAAAACAGTATGGAGGTTCCTCAAAAAATTAAAAATAGATCTCCCCTATGACCCAGCAGTTGCACTACTAGGTATTTATCCAAGGGATACAGGTATGCTGTTTTGAAGGGGCACATGCACCCCAGTGTTTATAGCAGCACTATCAACAATAGCCAAAGTATGGAAAGAGCCCAAATTTCCATCAGTGGATGAGTGGATAAAGATGTGGTATATATGTACAATGGAGTATTACTCAGCAATCAAAAAAGAAAATGTAATCTTGCTATTTGCAACTACATGGATGGAATAGAGGGTATTATGCTAAGCGAAATTAGAGAAAGACCAATACCATATGACTTCACTCATATGAGGACTTTAAGACACAGAACAGATGAACACAAGGGAAGGGAAGCAAAATAATATGAAAACAGGGAGGGGGACAAAACATAAGAGACTCTTAAATATGAAGAACAAAACAGAGGGTTATTGGAGGGATGGGGGGGAGATGGGCTAAATAGATAAGGGGCATTAAGGAATCTACTTATGAAATCATTGTTGCACTATATGCTAACTAACTTGGATGTAAATTAAAAATAAATAAATAAAATATTTTTAAAAAAGAGTTGCATGCTTTATTCACTGAGCCAGCCAGGCATCCCCCATTTAGTTTTAGATATTTATCTAGACTGAGTATAAATGATAAAAGACATTTAAAAGTTTAAATAAGAGTATGATTCTCCTGATAAGAGTATTTCCTATTAGCATTTTATGTTACTGTGTATTTATATGTTCTTCCTATAGAATGGCAAACATCAGCAGATCTCAGGCAGACTTCAGGATGTCCGACTCCGAAAACAAACTCAAAAGACTGAGCTGGAAGTTCTAGATAAACAGTGTGACCTAGAAATTATGGAAATCAGGCAACTCCAACAGGAACTTCAGGTTAGTCCTTTGCTGCTGAATTGTCCATAAATATGAGCAGTCATTAATAATTCTTCCTAATAGAATAGTTTTTGCTTTTGGGGTGATGAACCCTTCTAAGTCTCTGATGGACTTCATTCCTAGGAGGATATAAATATACACCATCTTGAGTGTTATGTGGAAACTAATTTGACAATAAACTATTTGTAAAAAAAAATATATATATATATACACCATCTTGTTTATTGTATCAGGAAGCTCACATGCCCCGAAAACTACTAGACATCTGGTTAAATTTTTATCCAAATATTTTAATATTTGTACATAAAGGGATGTGTATCACTTTGAGTTTTAAGTCTTTAATAAATATATAAATATACCTACATTAAACTAAGTTTGTTGTTGCTCTTTTAGGAAATTTTGACTTAACATTTTTCTTTTCAGAGTTGTGGTAAGAGTGTTAAATGTGTGTGTCCCTCAGGGACCTAGTAATCTCTTCTTTACCTGTGCAGTAGGGTCTAGTTTAGATATTATGGGGACTCTGGAACCATTCTGTTCCATTCTTTAGAGTCGTCTTACCAAAATTACTGTTTCTGTATGGACTAGCAGTTAACAAAGTCTTCTTACAGTATCACAGCAGGTACAGACAGGCCACATAACATTTCCTGTCTGATTTAAACCTGCTTCCCTAGTTATTCCTGAGTTTTTAGTTTCTCTTTGGTATTCATTCTGGAGTGTCATGACCTGCTTACAAATACCATTTAGTGCAGATACCAAAGGCACCTCTTAGCTTGTACCTGCCGTCACCCATCAGTATGCTGAAAATTGTAAGACTTTCAGACACACCCCATTCCTCACCACCTTTTCTTTCCAACCGATCATTCATAAATCGGGATTTATGTTTAAATAGTTGTATTTTAAATCACACATAATTCCATTCTAGTTTATTCATAAATTATAAGCAGTCTTTTATAGCTACGTATTATTCCTATACTAAGTTTTAAGAGTGGCTAAGTCATGTTTTTAAGTTTCCAAAAAATTTTGAGACATGACAGAGTTTTAATCAGGCTCTACTTTTTCTTTTTATAAGGATTATCAAAATAAACTTATCTATTTGGTACCGGAGAAACAATTATTAAATGAAAGAATTAAGAACATGCAGCTTGGTAACACACCTGGTAAGTCTCTAAGGTTTGTTTTGCCTCTTCCATTCTTCTCTGCATGACATGCCATTTGTACTCTGTTACTTTTTAAAATAGCATTATTCTCTTATAAATAACATTTTTGTGTATAGTTAAAATTTTTAAAATAATGTGAAAAAAAGTCACAGATGTCAGCATTTTTACCAATAAATAAATAAAAATGAAATAAGTAATCATTGTGGTCTGCCTTCCTATCTTGATAACATCTTGTGTATATGTTTCAAATAAATATCAAATAAAATGTTAGACTACAGTTAAATAAGATCTGGGTTTGGCTCTGACACAAGATTTTATGTGCAAAATCCTACCCTCATTGTAAAAATAACTGTTCAAGAGAAGACTCTGCCATGAGATTCTGGGTGATAGTATACAGCAGTGATGGGCCTTAACAGAATGGTCTGCCCCTCCCAGACCTTTTTTTATCACCTGAAAGAATTTTACAAACTTGGCCTCTGACATCTTTGGAATAAAATATTCCAAGATACTTTGTGGGAAAGTAAAATTTTCCTGATCCAAGTCCAAAACAGAATATTGAAAAAAACACCTCTATGTCAGATAGCATGCCGATAATAATGTAGCAGAAGAAAGGTTTATTTAAAGAAAAGTAAATCTGCAAGTACCGTGTTAGAACTACTTGAAGTAGTCTAAATGTCTCCCTTTGAGTATGTGTCAGCCTTTCCATTCCAGGGCTCTTTGTTATACTTTTGACTCTTTAGGAAGTCCAATAAATAGCATCCCTCATCTTTGCCCAAGTTCTGGACAAATAAAGAAATTAGGTAAATGAGCAAGACATAAGAGATCAAAATATCACCTCATTTTTGGTAAAGCTGATATTGATTGGACAGTCTGGCTTATTAATGAGTGGCACAGTGACACTTGTAAAACCAGGTGTGTGACAAAGTAGAACAGGCTTCCTGTGGGCAGTTCAGTCTCAAAAACACAAGGGTGGGGGCACCTGGGTGGCTCAGTCGGTTAAGTGTTCAACTCGGTTTTGGCTCAGGTCATGATGTCACAGTTCGTGCGTTTGAGCCACAGAGTCTGCTTCAGATCTTTGTCCCCCTCTCTCTGCCCCTCCCACCCTCTCAAAAATAAACATTAAAAACAAACAAACAAACAAAAAAAACCCTTAAGGACTGGAAGGGTCTAGGCTATGTCCTCCCAAGTCCTTATCTTGAGCTCAGCCATGACTGAAGGGGTGGAAAGAAGCTGAGAATGTTGTTTTAGTGAAGGTCCCTTTACATGGAAGAAACACCAGGAATGGAGAATTTTACTTTTGTGAATTCTTTCTACTCTATCCCACACCTTGCGCTAAAATGGTCTCCCCATGTCTCTTCTCAGACTGTCTTCTTTGCACATAATTAGTTTCATGGCTGTTCAGAATATATCAATCCCCACCTCACCCCTCCACAGGCATTCCAGAGGCAGGATGAGCCAGCCCTCCTAATCTGTGCAGTCGCATAAAGGATAACATCAACTCTCACTTTGTTTTAGTATTTGGATTGTGAATGGAATGTGGAATATGTCTTATTGGAGACCTGGCAGATCTTTCTGTATAGAATGTGATCGAGGTCAGCTGTTTTTATAGCTATACAGTTCAAAATAGGAAGCTTTTGTTTGGAATTTGCCAAGTACCCCATATCCCTTAGATTCCTCTCTCCATCTCTGTTGCCATGTAAGATTACCATCTGTATGCCGAGCTCCATGCTAGGCCATTTTCATGTGTTGTTTCCTTTAATCTTTGCAATAGCCCTGTGAAGTAGTTATTGTTATTCCCATTGTGCAGCTTAGCAAACCTGAGGCTCTGAAAGATTAAGTAGCCCAAGATGGTGCAATAATGGTTATCAAATTCTTGTCTGAGTATAAAGCCCACTGTGCCACCACGTTGTCTGTTGATTTTCAGTTGCCTAACAAGGCGCTCATAGATATGATATATTCAAAGTCAGCATTAAAACATCCATTACTATTGATGCTCTTTTTTTTTTTTAATTTTTATTTCTGAGAGAGAGAGAGAGGCAGCGTGAGCAGGGGAGGGTCAGAGAGAGAGGGAGACTTAGAATCGGAAGCAGGTTCCAGGCTCTGAGCTAGCTGTCAGCACAGAGCCTAATGCGGAGCTCAAACCAACGAACTGTGAGATCATGACCCGAGCCGAAGTCGGACGCTTAACCGACTGAGACACCCAGATGCCCCTGTTGATGCTCATTTTGAAGAGTACTAGGAGTGTATATTAATTTATTTTTTCCACTTTGCTTCTCTCCCAATTTAACTAGATTCTGAACTACTTGAGGATAGGACTCATGCCTTATCCTTCTTTTTTACCTGCTATTGCACATAGCGCAGTACCTTGCACATAGCAGATGTGTAATTTAATGATAAAATATTTGTTGGAATACTGGAAGACCACTAGCGAATGATAAGAGAACTTAGCAAGGTGTCTGGATAAAAAGTGAGCCTATAAAAATCAGTAACTTCACTATATATCAGAAATATTTAATTAGAAAATATCAAAAATCTCATTTACATTAGCATTCTCATTATTATGAATAAAGAAATATATAGCTACAAAATCTTACTGATATAAAAGATTCTTGGATAAGTATGTGCATGTTATATTCCTGAATGATCTAGCTCAGTATTATAAAGATGTCAATTTTCTACTACTTTGTCCATACATTCAGTTCTATTCAGGTTTCTTTGATTGAAGCCTGGCAAGATAATTCAGAAATTCACCCAGAAGAGAAAATATGCAGGATTAGGCAAGACTTGAAAAAGAATAACATTGGTGGGGGGAAGAAACTAGCTCTACCAGATATCAAAACATAAGTTAGGAAAGTTCTAGTCCCTAAAATAGTGTATTATTTGATCAGTAAGAAAACAGAATAATGGAACTGAATAGAGGGTCTAGAAACCGGTCTGTATATATATAACCATTTAGGATACAATAAAATTGACATTCAACACCAGTGGGTAAAGGATGGTCCTTCAGTAATCACCATCATTTCAGTTAGTGCTCTGGGGGCAGTTGCCTATCTGAAAGGGAGGGGTGGGGGGAAGCTCTTAACTCACTCTATGTACAGAAATAAATTCTAGGTAAAATAAGAGGATAAATGTTAAAAAAAAATGACTCTAAAAATGTTATAAAAACAAAACATTTTTATAATCTTGGTGTCAGGGAAGTTTCTTCAAGTAATACCTAGAGCTATGAAGGAAAATATTTACAGATTTGATTATTATAAAAGTAAACTGTTGGGGTGCCTGGGTTGCTTAATCAGTTAGGTATTCAATTTCAGATTATGATATCAGTTTGTGGGTTTGAGTCCTGCATCAGGCTCTGTGCTGACAGCTCAAGCCTGGAGCCTGCTTCAGATTCTGTCTCCCCCTCACTCCCAAAAAAGTGAAATTTTTTATGATGAAAGACCGCATAAACAGTAAAACATTTGAAATACATGTATAGTACAAAAAGAATTTGGAACCTCTGCAAATTAGGCATTAAGACAGCCCAATAGGAAGAAAAAAAGCAGTGGATGAGGTGAGGCAATTCAAGAGGGTGACCAATAAGCCTATAAATTGGTGTTGCTTTGATTTTAGTGGTTACCAAGGAAATAGAAATTAAAATAACAGGTTTCATTTTTGGCCAGTTAGAGAAAATGAAAAAGAATTGGGAGTATCCAGGGTTGATGACGGTATGCAAAAACAGGTACTTTGGTGTCATTTTGTATTGGTGCACCTTTTTGGAAGGATAGTTTGGCAGTTTCTGTCAAAATTTAAAGTGTTCAAATCCTTTTACATGCCAATTTTTTCATCTCCTAACCATATAAAATACTTTCATGAGTGCTTTAAAGTGCATGCACAAGGATAGTTATTGCAGCATTTTTATGTGAATAGTAGAAAATAGGAAATAACCTAATACCACTCTGGGAGTAGTTATATAAATTATGAAACAACCATAATGTAGACTACCATGGAGCAATTTTAAATTTGTGTCTTTTTTATCCAGTGTTACTAAGATGTAATCGGCATACATCACTGCCATGTATCTAATGACTTAGATACATTGTGACAGTAAGTCAATTACCAGTAGTGACATAAGAATTTCTACCAAATGTAAACTATCTGATGTTTATGTTTCAGATTTAGGGATTGGTTTGCTTCATAAAAAATCACTGGAAAAGGAAGAATTATGCCAAAGACTTAAAGAACAATTAGATGCTCTTGAAAAAGAAACTGCATCTAAGCTATCTGAAATGGATTCATTTAACAGTCAATTAAAGGTATTTATTTTCTATTATATTCATTTGTAGTTAGCTGCCTCTTACCTTCCTTGTTTTGATTTAGTGGAATAAGTAACTAAAGCTATTATTGTTATATGTAGTGTATTTTCATAATTTATCGTATAATTTGAGCTATACCAGAATTATAAGATTGCTTTTAGTGTTCTCTGTAGATACTATAAATATTGTGTTATGTAACGAAACCTGTCCTTTATCATAGTTTCCAATTCTTGAGTATTTTTATTGCCATCTATACATTTTTAAGAATTGCCTTTACCAGTATTAGAAAACTGAGCTCAGCAAACATGATCTTAGGCAGAATTCTAAGATGGTAGATATGGAAAACTACTTAAAATAATTCTGGTGATAGAGGCTTTTATAACACGCTAAAATTCTTTTTTGTTTCTTTGTTATGGTTTAATTAACCTTTGTGAAGTAATGCAGTAATCAGTGAAATCCAGAGCATAGTCTGGCACTCTGAACTTTGCATGGAAAGTAAGTTCATGATTCATTGCCTGCTGCTGTGGCAGAGCGGATGCCCAGATATCCATCGTATGCTTACTTACCATTCTTTGCAGTGTTAGTGGTATACTGAAGCCATACCTATGAAAGATGTATTAAAAGGTAAAAACCAGGCTGATGGCCCAGCATTCCAATTTGGGAATAGTCTCCACTATTTCTTTGCTAACTGAACATAGTTTTCAGAGCCTAAAGTATTACATAACATAAAGTTTTCAGAGCCTAAAGTATTACATAGTTTTACAGGCACCTGTCAACCTCTTCATGTGTGACTTTTGCTGACTTACGTAGAATAATATTACACCAACTATACAGTGAATATTAAAGAAAAAAGAGAGAACATGTTGGCTTCAGTTAAGGAGAGGGAATTTTAGGTGAATAATGTTACTAATACCTTTTACACAAGCATATGATTTTTAGAAAAAATTTTAAAGAAAACCAAGTAATTTGTCATTGATGGACAGACAAGCCAGCCAAGTTATCTTCCCTACATTATTTTTAAAAAAATTTGTACATAGTTTAATTGGCTTTTTATCTGCCTTATCTTACAGTGTGGGAATATGGATGACTCTGTTCTGCAGTGCCTTTTGTCTCTGCTAAGCTGTCTCAACAACCTCTTCCTCTTACTTAAGGTTATTTTCTAATACCTAGCTCCTTTTCTTTGAGTTACTTTACTGTTTTCTTTTCTTAAAAACTGGACTATTCTTTGCATTTATCTGAGTATCTTTGTTTGAAATAACATACACAATGTAGACCTTTTTTCTTTCCGCTTGCTTGAATAGCCTTCTGCTGTCTAACTGCCTGTTTGAGTCTAATGCCAGAAATTCATAGGGTTTCCCAGAGTAACCTGTCTCATGAGGACCCCAAGACACTTCAGAATCCCTTAAAATTCCCTTAAAACATCCCCGTGCATTGGGGTAACTGCTGGGATGATTACCGATTCCATAAAAAAGAAAGTTAAGGGAATATGTGTTTAAATCATTTACCCATGTCACTGAAAATCAGTGTTTAAAATAAAAGTTATACTTTCTGAAATCTAGAACAAGGTTATATCCTGTATATACCAGGCTGCTTCCTAATGCTGCTATAAAGAAAAGTCAGAAAGAACTAATAGTGCAGTAGTGGCCTTAGTTACGTCTAGTTACCAGGCCTCCTGTGTAGACAAGCTTGCATTCCAGATAAAAATGTTTAAGTCGTATACATAATTAAATAGTTCACTTTGTCATTTGTAGCACATAGAGTATTTCAAATACTCAATGAATTCCCGTTTTAATATAACCTTTGTGAAGTAATGCAATTTAAATTTAAATTAAATTTAAAGAAAGGTGCTTTGTATTTACCGCTTGCTGACCCTGGATTTTGTTCATTCTACTCCCTCTATCATAGATGGCAACAGGGCAGGTGCATGTATATGTATAGGTCTTCACACACAGTGAGGACAGGAACATGATAAGTAGAACTCATTTGTTATTTAAGCAAAGGTAGGGCAAGTTGGAAAGATAGTATCAGCCTTTTCTTTATGGTTATAGCATGAATGACCAGAATATCTGGTCTTAGAACTTGTGCTATAGGTTGCACAGAAATTTCAGCCTAAGTTTCTTCATCTATAAAATAAAGTTTGATGATGATTTATGGACTATACTCACACACGAAACTCTGATTATTTCAGTTAGCATTTGATTCTCCACAGGCCAGCAGATTATTCTTGTTCTTTTTTTACTTTCTTCCTTCTGCTTCCTGCCTTCCAGCCTTTCACTGCTTATTGATATGTTCATCAGAGGCAATTTAGGAAACTAAAAGGGGATGAGACCTGTAGTCATCATTGCAAAGCAATAGGAAGCTGTCGGTTAATACAGTGCTGAAAACTGTCCATTGAATAGTCAGTGAAACCTTTACAGACCTTCTGACAGTGCCAGTTTAGTTAAGTCAGCAGAAGCTGGCCTGCGCAGATCAGGAATGAATGGAAGTTGAGGAAGGGCTAAGTGAGTATGAACAGCTCTGGGAGGAGAGTGGAAAAAATGCCTGAGGCCAAAAGAAAACCATTTTTTTGTTTGTTTGTTTGTTTTGTTTTGTTTTTTTTTGGTTTAAGAAAGATTTGAAGACAAAGGTTACAAATTTTCAGTTGTGCAAGATGGAAAAGTTCTGGGATCTGTTGTACAGCATGGTGACTATAGTTAGCAATATCCTGTTGTATACCTGAGATTTGCTAAATAGAAGAGAAAATGATAACTGTGTGAGATAGATGTGTTAATTAACTTGGTTATGGTAATCATTTCACAGTATATACTAATATTGAAACATCAAATTATATACCTTAAACATGTGCAATTTTAATTTGTCAACTATATCTCAGTAAAGCTTGGAGGGGGAAATAACTTGAACCACTCTTGGAGGTAGTATAGGCTTTCTGTAAGATATATGGTTACATGGGGAAGAGATAGCTTCTGTTCGGACAGAGGAATGGAAATGGAGAAAACAGAGCTGGTTAGGTAATGCACCATATCTGTCTTAATGATGATTGCCTGGCTCAACCCAAATATCTCATTGCTGAATTCCCACCACCTACATGGAACATGTACATGGAATGTAGTGGGTGGCAAGAAGTACTTGTGGAATGAATGAATGGTTTTGAATGTTTCAGAAAATATGCAGCATTTAGGGTTAGTGTAGTATGTTTATGGGGGGAAAAACGTAGAAAGAAATTTATCAGAGAACCGTGTATCTCAGATTCTCGCAACACTTGTGACTCTATTGTTTCTGCAAAATAAAGGCTATTTTTTAAATGAAAAAAAAAAAAACTTTGAAGGAGATGGAGGAGAGAAAGGGAAAAAGGAGTGAGAGATTGAGGTTGAATATATGAGGTGGTGGTAATTGATAGAGTAGCGTCCTAGGGAACCAGATTGAGATGCAATCCAGAGCCTGGATTAAAGGATTAGATAAAAAGACTTTGAGTTTAACATATGGAGAAAAGATGGGTGTGAATGCAGCTAAATTTGCTGGAGGAGAGTAGGAAGCTGACAGCTTCAAGACTTAAAATCAGAAGCAAGTTAGACCATTAGAAAGAATCTCCCTAGGTAGTTGAGGACATGGAATAATTCCAACTAGATAGAATAAGATGGGTGCAGATGCAGGAAGTTTTATTGATTTTTGAGATGGAAAGATGAGGGAGTTCTGATCTGGTGGTTTAATGAGGCAAGATTATTAGCTGGTAATGAGAATGGATGGAAGAGTAGAAAGTTGCAGGAGAGAGAAATAGGCCTGAAATAGACATCTTGGTGGGGGGAGGGGATGCACTCTTAGTAAAGGAAAATAGTAGATGTGCTGAGCAATGTTGAATGCCTGTTTGAAGTTGGAGGTCATGAATACAAATTGAAAACAGCATACCAGGGGTGCATGGGTGGCTCAGTCAGTTAAGCGTCCAACATTGGCTGAGGTCATGATCTCATGGTTCGTGGGTTCAAGCCCTACATCGGGCTCTGTGCCGACAGCCTGGAGCCTGCTTCAGATTATACGTCTCCTTCTCTCTCTACCCCTTCCCCCGTTCATGCTTTGTCTCTTTCTCTCAAAAATAAACATCAAAAAAAAATAATAAAAATTTTAAAAATGAAAGCAGCATACTGAATCGTATAATTTTTTCCCCACCAAAGTTCTGCTGCTTGGGATGAGCACAAAGAAGGCTAATGAAGTAGGTTCATAGGTTCATCTAGGTTTGAGGTTTCAACAGACATGGCAACGAGGCAGGGGGACAGGGAGTTGCAGATCTTGACATACTAATTACTGTAAAGATGAACTCTGAAATATGGGCTGGACATGAGGAGAGGAAGGGGTGGGTGCTGCTAATGAAAATGGAGAGAGTGATGGGGTCAGCAGAATGGAAGTCTTAGGTTGGAAAGCTGTTGAAATGGGTGCACCAGGTATAAGAAAAGCTTGAAGAATAAGAACTTGTGTTTGAAGAATGAGATATTTAATCAGTAGTTCTGTTTCTAATGATGACACAATTCAAGGCATAATAATGCGGTGGATTAAATGGAGTAAAGGGGAGAGTTGAGGTTTTGATCGAGCCTATGTGGATGTCAAACCCTTGGGGGTAGTGAAGATTAATGAATGAGGATCCGACCAGGTGATCAAGAGATGACAATAAAGAGGAAGAAGAGGGGGTGTTGCAAGATGGTATAAGCCTCAGAAAAGCATTAGTTTGTAAGAGTGAAGAGAATGGTCTGGAAATGACAGTGAAGAGCAAGGAAAACAACTTTAGTTCTCCCCTCCCCTGATGTAAATAGATACATAGTGATAAACAGAGAGAAACACAGGAAAAGCAGTGTCCTGAGGGGTCAGCCAAAAGGGCAAAGGCTAAGAGAGTTTCCACTCAGAGCAGATGTGTGGATATGTGGGGAACTTTCTGACCACAAACAGGAAGTTCCCGGGCAGTGCAAGGGTTTGAGGAGAGAAAGGGTGGGGGGTTGGGTCAGCTCAAGAGATAA